GCTGGTTTGAGAGAGGAGTTAAGGAAGCTATTTTTGTACAAATAGAACACCCCTCACTAAATAGGGGTGGTGGACTAAGACACAACTTGTCTTCCATCTACAATCCTGTTTTGAGATCTCTGCCCAAACATGCCCACCAGGACAATAGGCGTCGGTCGACAGGGGAGGTTTCAAAAACAGGTAACAACTCTCACCGATACTGGGCTGCAACGACTCAGTCGTTAAGGGACATTGTTGGCCTTCAAAGGACTGAAACACCACTGAGGGGGATAAATATCTCCGGCTCAACACCAGTCAGTCAGAACTGATGAAGCCTAATGGATGAGAGGTGAAACGTCTTCGATCTAGAAATCTAAGTCCAGTTGTTTTTTCTAAGGTTATTTCATTTTACTATGACCTGGATGACTGAGAATCTGCACAGACACACTGGATCAACACAACATCAAAACTGTTATGCACTTTATCAAATCCTTTCATTATTAGCAAGTCACCCTTGCAAGAAAACAGTGGAAAAAGTGCATTTTGGTTTCGTTTTGGCTGCAGGCTTCGAAAATGGAATCATGTCACCATCTGGTGGATGACTATCAAAATTACAAGTTGGGACCAAGTATTTCAAAATGCATTAGGAATGATGCGGTGCATTACTTTATTGTAGGATAAATATGGCATCAAAAATAGCGTTTTTAATGGGTTTCAATGGGACAAAAAATGTCTGGACATTGATATTTGGATGAATTTTTTTTTCTTAGCTACTTTAGGCCAATTTAAGGAAGCAAGACCTCAATTTTAAATTTAAAAGAAAAAAATATCATTTGGCAAGTCTGAGCTACATTCATTCAACACAGCCAAATTGGCTTGAAAATAAAAAAGTGAAAAGGACAACAAAAATGTACTTAGGGATGCATAAGGGTTAATGACCCATGATGTTACTGTCTGTGCTATGTTACCTGTTGGAATTAATTTCACTACTTTGGGACTGTATGTGGTCGTGTGGGGGAAGACGCAGTCTATTCATGTTTCTTACATGACAATTAGTATTCAGAGGTTTTTAATATCTTTCTATACTTTCAGCCGCTACAGTCGTTATTAAAACTATAAAGTCGTCTACCTGCTACCCTAGAATTTCCACTGAATAAGTGAATGAGAAATTCTTATTCTATAATTATTCTGCAATGAGGGTGTCACTATATGTGTAATGTGTTCATGCCTTCTTCTTCTAAACAGTCTAGTTGAAAGATTAATCGACAGAAAAATAGTTGTTAGTGGCAGCTCTAGTATTAGTATTGCTACCTTTAATGTTATTATTTTATGTTCATAATCATCACATTACATTTATATTCTTTACATATATCCCACCTGGTATCTACTAACAACTGCCATAATATTCTTACAACCCATTATTATTATTATTATTGTCATCATATTACAGTTTTCATTATTATTGGAATCATGATTATCATTATTATTAAAATATGGAACACAAACACACTGGTGATGTGTTCAATACTTATTTTACCCAGTGTAAGGGAGGTTCTCTTTTGCATTCCCATGTTTTGTTGTCTAGGACACTGAAGAGATTAGATGGAAGCAAATGTCTCAGATTTGTTTGAGTTAATTTAAACATACTGTATAAGGTCAGAGGTGTGACTCCAAGATGTGCATTCTAATGCAGTAAAATCACAAGAAAGAGGGGTTCGGGGTCTCTGGATACAGGATCAGGGATCTACATCTGATAAAGAGAGACAGTCCAGAGAGTAGTTTGCATGTGGAAGTCTTCTGGCTGCTCTCATTCCCTAGAATCATAGGTCTAATGTGTTAATTATGAATATTCTGAGTCCCTCGGAATAAAAAATCACTTCCAAAATGTCTACTTCAGACTTGTATACACTATATTATTTGCAACCAAGATGGCAGCGCGTGCACAATGTGAGGCTCAGCGTCTCCCCAGATTTTGCAGTGATTGCACTGCTGTTCTGGTTAGATGCTAAACTGTATTTCATTGCCTTGTACTTGTACAGGGTGGGTGAAAAGTAACTACGCATTAAAAATTTCATACGAAATCCTATTTATTATCATCTAGTTAGAGACCGTTTCCATCATGACTCCAGTGATACTACAGGTTCTATAGCCAATTTTTAATGCCTAGTTACTTTTCACCCACCCTGTATATGTGTAATGACAAGAGTTTAATCTAATATATAAATACATATATAACACACACACACACACAAACCACATTAAAACCAATATACTATATTCATTATGTTCTAGCCCATGTTCCTTTGTAAATGTCCTGTAACCATTGTTTTGTCTTCACTGACCTGTCCCGCTGTCTTGCTAACGTCCAATATTTTGACAAATTTCTCAATGACAACATGTTAACAACACTTTTCTACATGCAAACAACATATTAACAATGTGTGACTTGTGATGGCAATGTTTTGGTCTCTCTGGTCTTCCATATTCTTGCAGTCACTTCTTTTACTGTCAATATTATATGCATCCTATTATTAAAGAGTATGTTTCCAGAGGGTGGTCCTACTGAAAGACAACTGGAATGTGAATGTGTTTTACCTGTGCTTGAACCTGTCACAGAGGGCATCTATACACTGAGCCAGAGTGGATGACTCCACCCCATCCTGCTGCTGCCCCCCCTTGTTGTTTTCCTCTGCAGCCACAGAGGGCAGCTGCTCAATCGAGGTTGAGGTGGGGACAATAACCGTGTTAGGACTCTTCCCTGTTAACAGATCCTGGTAGATCACAAGAACACTGTCCAGGAATTCTACAGACACAAAGCATAACATGCAGTTGGAAGTCAGCGGGTTAAATTGTGAGTTTTGATAAACTGAATATAACTCCATATGGTCCACTCCTGATATAATGATTTCTCCCACACTACTTCTTGTTAATAGGTTTCTATCATTGTTATCATATTGTTATCAGATATCCGACCACAGAAATCACTGCAGTGTGATTTCCTCAAGAGTGTACCTTGATAGAAGAACTGCAGCTGGAAGGCATAAAGGAAATCAGAGAAAGACATCAGACAATCTACGGCGTCATCCATCAGAACAATTCTACAGGCAAAGAGAAGAAAATATGTTAACAACAGTGTATGCCACTGCAGTGTCGACCTGTCAAACAAAAAACCTGTGTGAACTGTTTACACAAACTGAGAAGTCTGCAGGGTACACAACATGAACAGTATGTTTTAAAATACTGTAATGAATTGTAGTAAAGTGTAAGAGGGTAGTGTGTTGTCTGTAGCCTGTATGTGTACTGACCTGGCTGCACTCTGCACCATCTCAACTGGGAAGTCTGGACATAATAACTGCAGCAGAGACCTGTACTCCAGCATGGAGAGTAAGTCTAGAACACAACAAGACAAAAATAAGTTTAGTTACAGAATATACAACAGAAAATCACTGATTTTAAAAGATAAACAAAGCAACCAGTTAAGTGGATTTTGCCAGATAATTCATTAATGGTTATTAAGAACAGTATACTGCTGTATAAGTGACTTTCTAATATTAATTCATTCAAGTCTTTATTTAAACTTGGAAGAAGCATATGTTGGGCAGCTGTGGACAAATAGAAATTGTTGCAAAATAACTCTGGCTTATCCAGATGTTGCTCTGCAGGCTTCAGACACTGACTATTGTGATAAAGTTGCACTTGAGGTTTCCATCTTATAATTCTTTCATTTAGACCATGTTTGTGCATTAATACTGCAAAGTCAAGGTGCACCACTAGTCATGTACCACTTGAACCTCCAACAGGTCTTCCCCTTCTTTGCTGACATGAGTTGCTCCAGCATCATTTCAGATCCTCAATCGGTTGCTTAGAGGGGCCTATGGTCATTGAGTGTTACCACAAGGTTTGAAAAGTCACAGAATTTATCAAGCTATGAAATTTATTGGCAATTACATCTAACACTCACCTCCACTCTTGCCAATCTGTCTGTAGCACCTCCAGAAGACTCTGATAAAGGAGGCTCTGTTATGAGGAGTGGCTCTGATGTAGTTATACTCTCTGAAGAGAACATGATTACTGTTCTTCACACTGCTGAAACTACAAGCACACAGACACAAAATGAAACAAGAAAAAAGCTTTATTTTATAGTCACTGTAACACGTACAATGAAATCTTATTTGGAGCTGAGGGCCCTGGGCTGCTGCGTGCGTACGCGCCGCCATCACGGGCAACTTGGGGGTTTCAGTGTCTTGCCCAAGGACACTTTAACATGTGGACTGCAGGCACCGAGATTCAAACCTTCAGCCTTCCAAACAAAATGCTCCCCTGCCTCAAAATTATCATTATCGGTTAGCTGAATACAAGAATTCACAAAACAGCATTTATTTCCACTAACCATCTCTTAAAGTGAAATGTGACCTGGTTTTACGGAGACTTCTCACTGTCTACAGTGGTAGCAACACACTGTACATTCCTCACAAAAGTGGAGATGTGCATCACCAACTTTCTGCATTTACACGGGCAATGCACAAGCAGGAATTTTGTTTTTTTAATTTATACACAGAAATGTGTTCAGACGCGCCAATGTTTATTGTTAGGTAAAGTAATAATCATATGATTCTTGTTGTGATTTTTTTCTGTTTGTGTTTTATTATGATTTTACTTATCTGTGTATTCTAATATTGTCCAGGTTTCCCTTGTGAAAAGGATTTCAATCTCAGTGTGACTTCCTGGTAAAATAAAAATGAATATATTAGCTCTGAGTAAGGATATGCTTCTTGCAAAAGAAACCTGCCTCCACAACAATAACAGGATGACTATACCTATAAAGAACATGCCTGATGTTGGCTGTCTGGGGAATTACAGTATGAAAACGCATGCCAATTTGTAGTCAGCTTCCAGTTTGATCTGTAATTCTGTTTGTAATAGCCTCCCACGCCATACATCAGTCAGTCAAACGTTTGCCCAGGTCTGCTGTCCAAACGTCCAGAACCCATTGTGTATATGTGCCTGGGTGACTGACTGTATACTGAGTGCAACATACTACTCGGCAAAGTAGCGGATCACCCCAAACTGGGTGTATTCCTGTTTATGTTCCAGCAGCTGGGTCACTGCATCGCTCAGGTAGACCAACACATCGCTGTCCGCTGTGAGAGAAATAAATACATGCGCACGCTATTAGTAACTTCAAAGAAACATGACTGGACAGCTCGCGGCTGTTAACTGAAAATATGCGCAACAGCTAAAGATCTTAACTGTTAATACTGCACAGCTAACACAGAACCTACCGAGGTACTCGTCAAGGGGAACGGTGGGATTAAAACGGTTCATTGTGGTCGTTGTTTCCAGAGATAACATTGAAATGATCATGAATACGCTTGAGATGTATACAGCTACAATCAGCAAACTGCCACATACAACCTAGTGATGTCCTCCATGTAGTCTCGGCGTTTTGCTAGCTAACACAGCGCAAATTGTCCTAACCATGGATGTGATCCTGACATGGTGTACTTCCATTGAAACAGCGGGATGTTGTGAGTTACATTAATTAAATACCCCCGGAAAATACAGCGCACAGGGGTTCCTATGCTTTTTCTCTTCTTCTTCGACGTTTGGTCATAGGGTTTTTACGGCAGTTGGCATTGTTGATACTGTATTACCGCGTACCCATGGATGTATTTAATATGTATTTACTTCTCTAGGGGAGGAGGGGTACACGGGGGAGGACAGGAGAGGAGACTACACTTTGATGTTTCAGCCTCAACGAAATGATTTGTGAGCAATGTGACCTGTGAGAGGAGAGGAGAGGAGAGGTGAAGGGTGAAACTTAGAGCATCACGGGCCCCCAGCAGCCTAGGCCTATAGCAGCATAACTAAGGGAAGGCTCAGGGTCACCTGATACAGCCCTAACTATAAGCTTTATCAAAAAGGAAAGTCTTAAGTCTACTCTTAAAGGTAGAGAGGGCATCTGCCTCCTGAGCTGAGACTGGGAGCTGGTTCCACAGGAGAGGAGCTTGATAGCCTCCCTGTTCTACTTCTATGGACTATAGGAACCACAAGTAAACCTGCACTCTGAGAGCCAAGTGCTCTATTAACATGTTAATTATTCACTTTTCAGCGTACCCTACCTGCGCATTAACGCAATTAATTGTGATTAATTAATTGGAATGAATCATTGGGGGGGCACCATGCCTAGGCATTAACCATCCATCATGGATGTATCTGGTTTAAACAAATCATGTGAATGAGTATGGTAAGAATACTGTACTTGAAATGTTGAAGATGGGCTGGATGCTGAAATAAGGCATAGATGGGACAACTCCCAATGAAAAATGAAAAGCTATGATAAGATTCTACAGCATTATCTTAACCTCTAGAGTCCTGAGCTTTGGAAACCCAAGCTGTGCGGTCCTCATATGAGGACGCAGGGACTCTAGAGGTTAATAAAACCTCTACTTCACCCATGCACTCTACCGCAGCAGCAGCAGAGACAGGGGCAGAGTATTTGTAATACCATCTTTTCTATGACCAGCGATGTAAACTTCCAACTTATACAATACCATTTACAGCAGTGGTCCCCAACCCCCGGGCCGCGGACTGGTACCGGTCCGTGGATCAATTGGTACCGGGCCGGGTAATGGGCCAATAGATTATAAATAAAAATATTATATTTCAAATATACTTTTTAAATAATTAGATTAGATTCAACTTTATTGTCATTGCACATGTACAAGTACAAGGCAACAAAATACAGTTTGGCATCTAATCACAGGTGCAATAACAGCATATTTGATAAATCAGTTTCGACAACATTTAGGTAGCAACTTTTTATGTTTAGAGTTGAGATTACCGTTTAAAATAAAAATGACAGGTTATATCAGTTGTCTTGAATTAAAGTTAATTCCATGGTTAATTTGAAATTTGATCAAATATAATCATACTCTGGCCCTATTTTCAATCATAAAATGAATTATCAGACTAAGCTATTTGAAAAAGGATTGATTAAGAATAAACCATGGTTCAAGAATACATTCATGGAACATAGACATGCACAGTCATACAAAAATGGATTTGACTAATGGTCAGGTCACAGAGAATAAACAGGTGAAGCATATGTATGGTCTCTTTTTTAAAACTAATTTTTACAATTGAATCACAGCATGTGTTACAGCCTATGGTACCTCAGTAGAAGTGTAGGTTGTAACAAAGGAACATCATGTATTTGACATAAACTCTCAAGGTCTGTGATATTCTTGCATTAGTGAATTACTGAATTGAATCCCAACTAAAAAATTCTGTGAGCTACAGGCGCTGAAGAACAAAGTATTACAACCATACCTGGAATACAACCATACGTGCAATACACCAATAACGGAAAGATTGCCATAATTACAGGGAGGGCTTCATTTCAGACCAGCCAAGCAAATCTCTTCCAAGGATAAGCGACTATGTGATAGGCCAATCAGCAAAAGACTCTCATACCTTGGGGGCGGACCATAGTTCAAATGCAACCAATCAATGGCTTGTCTATAAATAAATAAGGAAGTCAATTATACCATAGCTAACGTTTAAAATGTAATTGTGTTACACTCGAATCCAGTATTCTGTATTCTCGTTTCCTAATTTGCCTGTGATACTTCATGCACCGAGACGCTACGTGTCTCTGATACAACACAAGAATGATGTGGTCAGGGTGGTGTCTCTATATCCGCCCATCTTCGGTCTCTCCGCCCTTGGAGGCATTTCAAAAAGCTTCAAGAAGTTGGACATAGGAAGCAACTTCAAGACCGGATATTTATTTGTATTTAAAATAAGAGTTAAATGTCCCAAATCCATAGTAAGATACATAAATAGATGAATCAGTATTCTGCCATATTGATTTATTTGAAATGACCACTAAAACGCGATATAGCCTAATTAATACGATACTCCGTGTTAAATGGGAACATTGCAACTGCTGGTTTTATTTTGAACCGGAAGTTTCGTTTCTGTCTTGTCGGTGGCGCTGGAAGAGTTTGTATAAGGCTCGGCTAGGATTCTCTGTAGTGATCTCTTTATCGGCCACATCTTACTGGACAGCTAACGTTGTATTGTCTCATACAGACGTAAACAGGTATTTTAACTATATACATTTAATTTCTTATTTTATTTACAGCTCGTATTTGACTCACAACTAGTATGCCAGGTAGTTATGTTTCTGCAGCTGTTATTGTGAACTGCGTTGTTAGGCCTGGCTGTGTTGGCGCGGACAGAAGGTTAGCCTTGTTTCTAAGCCGCTAACGGCGTCTACTGGGCCGTTGCCAATCTCCTACGTCTTGCTGTGAGTATTTGTCGGACCCTATGCATTTGTCACACATAGGCCAGTAACCTACATTTCTGTCGTGAACATGACTGCTTGTAGTTTTGTTGAAGCAGCTATAACCAGAATTAGCGGGTTAGCAACTGTCGTGTATACCAATTGTTGTCGCCACTTAGCTAATTAATGGCGCTCATCTGACATCGACAGCTAGCTAGTTGATAAAACGCTGCCCTTTCCCAGTTCGAGCTAGATTGAAAACCAGCTGGTGCCAACCAGTGAAATGGTTAGCGTTAGATGACAGGACAGCTGGCAAAGAACGCTGCTCACCTAACTGACCTCAACTGGCTGTTAGTTTCTGATTACCCTTGAGGTGAGGTTAGCTGTGGATGGAGTGTGCACAGACCTGGGAGCACATGGACGAGCACATTAACTTTTTAATGTATTTAGCATAAATTCAGTGATATTTGAAGCCCTCGTGTTCATTATTGTATGCAGGCAAACATTTCAGACAGACTTCCTTGCGTTCACTGCTGCCTTTCTCATGCACACGTCCACACTAGAATGATGTGTTGAAATGTGAGTTTTGTGATATAATGTTGCAGTAATCGAACGTATATCTACTCTTTTATTGCTCTGTTATCAGTTCAGTGATAAGCGTCTATTAATAGAGCCATGAACGACAATAAGACGCTTATCCTAAACCGATTTTTTAAAAACAGTATGTATATGTAGTGATTTTAAATGTATAATGCATCTTATGAGTCATAAAGGTCCCATGGAATTAGCCTTTTCTTTTTTTTCTGGAGCGCCACATCTAGAGGTTGTGTGTAGTTTGGTCGGTGGATCTATATGCCCATAATCTACTTGAAAGTCAAAATTTGCATGGCTCATCTGTAATACTGCTTCTAAGGTGACAGTATTTTGCAGAGATGCGCATATTGTGTTTAGCCTTTTTAACCAGACTGGGTTGAATCAATATGAAATATGAACCCATTGCTCCTCCTTGAGTCTACGGTAAACAATGCTATGTTGATGGTTTCAGGTGAAAGTGAGTGATACATTCTCCCATTGAAGAGGCTCAATTACTAGTGTTGATGTTTTGGGATGTTAAATTGTGCGATAACCCTAACATTATGATTTTTTTCCCCCTGACCTTTTTATAATCTATATGACCAGGATATATAAATGGCATATTTTATAGCTGAATATCAGTGCTTTCTGGCAGGCAGAGTACGTAATGGTGGCGGTGTTTATAAATGACCTTGTTTGGCATTTCTGTATTGCAGTTTCTCTTTTTATTTATAGGTTGAGATAACTGGTCTAGTGTAACTGTATTGGTTCTTTTCATAACATCTGTGTCACAGTAGTGTGGTCAAATTGTAAAATTAGGCAAATGCTGTGAAATGAGAGTTTAAAGTGGCTGTAGAAACTATGGACAGTTGACAAATCAAAGGAAGAACCTGAATAAAATAGTGGATGTTCCATGGTGTTGGTCCATTTGTCCCTTTAGAGAGAAGGGTTATTCCAAATCTATACACAGTTGTTGTTGAGTGATCACAATTGTCTGCTCTCAGATGACTGAATCCAGCTGTTCTGGTCTGCAGATCAGTGGATGTTCCTAATTTTCTGACCCCCTCATGCATGTAGCTGGGGAGGACAAAAATATAGAAACCTCTGAATACAATGAACACCGCCTTTAATTATGAGCTCAATAAAAAACAACAAAAAAAAAAACAACATACAATTGAATTTATACATTTATGACAATTTCACCAAAAACTGAAACATTCTGAGCTTCATAAACACAAGTGTTAGATTTGTGTTACTGCCTATTTAGATGTTATTGCTCATCTACTTTATATTTCACTTGTATTGTGTGGCATTCATGTGGACGGCAAAGTAAGAATTTCATTGTACAGAGAAACGCGTTGCCTAACTGTGCATATGAAAAACACTTTAACCTTGACCTTTGACCAGATGTTAAGGTGGAAGTGTTACAGGTGTACCTAATAAAGTGGCCGGCGAGTGTACATTCCATGTTAAGGCATTCTAAGACAAGATACATTTAAGCCTAGTGGGAAAAAATGCCACTGTGTGACTGAGGCTTCAGTAGTAGCTCTCTCTTGTGTTATAGATCTCACAGCTTGTTTGCTAATTCATAGGAAGATTTAAACTGTCAAAGTTTTGGGTGAGAGGCAGGGTCCACCCTGGACAGGTCACTAGTCTACCACAGGGCTGACATGTGGACAAACAACCACACACACTCCTATGGGCAATTTAGAGTTGCCAGTCAACCTAAGCTGCATGTTTTTGGGCTATGGAAGGAAGCCGTCCAGACCAGAATCCGGACTATGAGAAACCCTGGTTTATGGTTTCATAACAATATTGGAACACAACACACAGACAGTCTTGTCAAGAAAAATAATTTTTCCGCCTTTGCATGGGAGCACCATGCTCAGTAGTATGGTGCGTACACACATTCGGTCACTGTCTCCATAAAGACCGTGAGGTGCACTTTCTGAAGTGTGTCCTCTACATTAGGTGCAGGGGCAGTGTTCACTGTGAGAGCTCACTGTCTCTTTGTCCGAGCATTTAACTGCTCGGTGTGCAGTGCTTTGACTTCTGTGCCGACAGCATCCAGTCGGGATGTCACGCTAGCATTTCATACATTGGTTTGCCTGAACAAGACATTTCTGATTAGTTATGTAGCTATGCAGCCAACTAGGTGTGCATAGTCGGCTCTGTAGCTACATCCCTATACCATGTATGCACAGCGAGCGGTGAATGCATAACCGTTAAATGTGCTTTTGATAACTTACCCCTGTGAAATTGTCAAAAGCAGATTAACATCTTTCAGCAAATGTTGCTGAAGATGTTACAGCAGCTGCCTACGTAATGTGAAGCCTCTTTAACTCAGCTACTTGTACCACTGTTTTTCTTCCAAGCTGGAAAGCTGAAAAACCCCTCTCCATTTGTGATATGTATTTCATGCCAGTCGTGAGAATGGTTATGGCAGTTAATAATACAGCAAACATCTACAGTTTTTGTATGGATGCTGAGTCAGCATCCGTACCTTGTTTTCCTGGTCTTTATTGTATGAATGCTGACACCCATACCATGTTATCCTGTTCTTTATTGTATGGATGCTGACTCAGTATCCAAATAATAATAATAATAATAATAATAAAAAATAATTGGATAATATGTTATCCAATTATTTATTATTATTAGTGTGGATGCGAGCATCCACACTCTTTTTGTTTTTATTATTATTATAGTTTCTTCCGTACTTTTTTCGCCGCTCATCTTCTCCCACATTCTTTCAGCTAGACAACCCATTCTAGTATCAAACTGTTCAGCTTTTTAAGGACATGATGGCGTGTACTCAACTTTTTTATAACTTTTATACTTTTTCATAAATTCAGCTTTTTTCACCAAAATTTTCCCATTGGAAATGAAAGGAGAAAAGTTGGAAGCTTAATATTGTGTTAATAATCAGACTACTGGAGGAGATGAGCTGAAGGCTGAATCAGTGCAGATGGTAGACATGTGTTTCCCG